GAATTTGTAAAATCTTCGATCAAAAATTGCAAAACCACAGTAGAGGTAAGGTAAGGTGAAATGATTTGTGCAGACCAAATGCAGTTGAGGAAAGCGTCAGAACGTGACCAAATTTTGGCCACCAAACGCCTTGATTCACTCGGGCAAGCTTGACTACTCCTTAACACCAGTCTCACATATTTACCTAGACCTTAAAACCAACCTATTCGATCACAATCTCTCCATTTGAGCAGGTAAATTTGGACAAAGTATTGATCAAGTGTTGTGTCGCTTGTCCTCCATTAATTCGATATGATTAGATTTTACCACGATATAGGCATCGAATTAGCTCTGAATCCACATAAATACGTGTAATATTGATGCCATGGACCTGCGAATAGACATTTGAGTACTGCTTCATTCACCCGACGGATGGCAAGAAATCCTGAGACGCTGATATATTGCTGGGCATGCTGCCCTAGGGATAGGCTGAGTTCCTTGTAAGTAAACGTGGCATTACTTCAGTTGTCATCCCCATATCTTAAAGTTGATATAAATTTCCTATGAGTTGTTTCACTTGACTTCCATCAAATCGATATGCTTAAGTATAAACCCAAAGGTTAGCATCTATTTAGCCAAAATATCCGTATAAATGGATAGCAGGTAATCCTGAGATTAACACATATTATTAGGTATACTGCACTACGGATAGGCTGAATTTGAAATAATAGTCGACGTGGCATTACATCCGTTGACATCAAATTAGCCTTGAATCAGCGTAAATGGCTGTAGTATTGATGACAGAGATCCGAGGATAGACTGAAATCTACTTAGGTAAAGCTTCATTTAATCAACGGATAGCAAGAAATCGTGAGATGTATTCTGCTCCACGAATAGGCTAAATTCCTTGTAAGTGGATGTGGCATTACATAAATTGACCTCCAGTTAGCCTGAGTTGAGCACTCAAATTTGTTCAAAACAAACGTGCCATCCGCCCGCAGACACCCTTTGTAGGGCCCCAAAGACATGCAGACGACCCAACAGGCTCCACAGCCTGTTCAGAGCACTGCCCAACACCTGCCTGCACCTGCGACTCCTACACCACATACATGGCTTAAAGGTGACACCACCACCTTGTCGGCTTGACGCGACAGTGCCCATTCATGGCCACGACCACACCTTAACCCTAGCCCTAACCCGGTCGCTTGCACCAGACTTGCCCTCCAGTTGATCCTCGTGAAAGGATTTGGAGTCCACTCATTCCGATTACGGAGCCTCTTAGAGGAGTCCCGCATAGGTAGTTTTCGTCACCACCTCCCCATGCTGGGAGTGGGTAATTTGCGCGCCTGCTGTCTGCCCTGG